AAAATGTATATAATAAGCAAGAAAAAAATGTATACAATGAGCAGTTGGGCCGTTGATCCATTTTAACCCAAATGAGCTAACCCATCGTCAAGTTTGGCCCAGGTCTAAAAACATGCTCTTGGCAGCAGGCCGAACTACCCATTTATAGAGTGGCGAAATTCTATAGAGTGATGTTAAGCACACCCAAGAATTGTCTTAAGATACTCAGAAATTCCCCATGAGAATTGTGTGTTCATACCTTTTTCATAACATCTTTTGACAAAAAAAGGACCTTTTTCATAACATATGGTCATTAAAATGTTGAGGTCCACAAAATAAAAGTGGTTAAAACGTTGAGGAGATTTCTTGCATTCAATTTTGTGTTGCCGGGTTTTTACTTGTTGCCAAAATTAAAAAGGGGGAATGGGGTTTTCTCACACACACTGCTAAGGTGACATAGAGGTTCGAACGTAAGACCACTGGTTTGTTATTAAGGTCATTTTCCACTAAGTTAGACCCCGTTAGTGTCCTTGTTGTAGTTAATTGTGTGATCTTGAGTTTGTAGGAGTTTATCCATAAATTGATTAAGTGGGTTGCTTCCCAACAAAGAACAAATGAGGAATAATGGCAGTGTGGAAAATATACTTTTTGACAAAAGTAACCAATTTTTTTTTTTTCCTCTTTTAAATGATTATGATGATGATGTAGGTTAATTGCTCTAATTCCCATGCATGCAATGATTCAAAAACACAAAAAGTAGTGAAAGGAATAAAATATCCCCAAAAACATGTAATAATCATTACTTTTTTTTGTTTCCTGCTGCTAAGATTTTAATTCAGCATTCCTTTGCGATATGGCTTCTTAATTCATGTTTTACATCTGCATATAAGTCACCGATATTAATTAACCCCTCTCATCATCACTGGTACAAGTAAAAGAGAGAAATGCCATCATCACATATGCAACAATTTCAGACCACAACAAAATGATAGTTCATGAGCAGTAGCAGGCTAGCCTGCCATTACTTTTTGAAAAGAGAACAAGAGATAAATCCAGATCTCTCTCTCCTGTTCCTATATGCATGAGAGAGAGAGTGATGGTAAGTCAAAGAAAAAAGGTGGCATTATTAACACAAAGGAAGCAAAACATCTTTACAAAGACAAGTCAACTGGTTTTCAGCCATGCCAATACACAAACAACAAACAAACAACCCCATTTGCCATTTCATTTTTATTCTGGCAACTCAGCAGCTTTGGTAATTTTCTGCAGCTTTTAGATATATCTTTCTTTCTTCTTTTTTTCTGTGGCTAAGCTTACCTAAACCCACCAGACAAAAAGCACCCACCAAAGCATCCAATTTATATAGACGCTAGACGAGGCTGAGCAGGGAGGGCCAGCCTCCAACCCAACTAAAAAAAGAAAAAGGTATAGGCATGCCTTGGGCTTAGGGACTGAGCCCACCCTTCCTTACCTATTTTATGAAATGACAAACATGCTCTCCTACATCGCTCATGCTTCATGCTCAAAGCAAACATCAAAATGGCATTTTTGGCATGTGTGTAATTTCAGAAATCTCTCTCTCTCTCTCTCTCTCTCTCTCTCTCTCTCTCTCTCTCTCTCTCCTGCACGCGACAGCCTTCCCCTTCGGTTTTGCCCAGCCGCCACTTCCAGTCGCCACAGCCGCCGCCACGCTGGACCACCGGTCACGAGACCGGACCCACTTGAACCGCCACGTCCTCCTCTCTCTTCCCCGGCTAGCACAGCTCCTGTGACAGGACCCGCCCCGAATTCCTCGGAACTCGAGATGAATCCTGTGGAAATTCCGACATCACACCGATGCCGGGCCCACTTACTAATGGAAAAGAGAACGAGACTTTCTACCGAAATTTCGGCAGAGTCTCCCTTGTAAATTGGACTTTCCCCAAAATTCAACCTGCCAACAAAACACAGTTTAAAACCCAACTGGCAGCATGTACAAGTTATCAACATGCAATTTCATAATAGGCCTCTAGCCTTCAAATGGTTTAAAACAAACCAGCAATGCTCTTAAGTCGAATAATACAAACAATACAATTGAAGATCCCAAACAACTAAACTACCAAAATCAATAAACTGGATTCAAATCCAATAACTACATCAAAATCCAATCATATACTCAGAATTGATCAAACCTTTTACACACAATATAATCCGCGGCTGCACCTGGGTGAGACCCCAGGCTGCCTACGTACCCTTGGACAAGGGATCAAGCCACACGTAGTTCTTATCTCAACAGTCACAATTCCAAAAATATACAATAATTTAAACAGCACCGATACGTTTCAGATTTATCACAACTACAATTCCGACAAAACACAATCTTTATATAACTCTGATTTGTTTATAAACCCACTTTATCTGATGATAGGCTAATCATTTCTTAATTATTTGATTGCTCAACACATATGATATAAATTCATATATATATGTGAATTAATTAATTAATTGATTAAGTCTCCCTCTAGCTCTTTCTCTCTTGCATCCGCACATGAACACACACACGTACACACAAACAAACATCATTAACATTTATATTTATATATATAAATTTTGGCTACTTGAAGCTTGAGGATTTAGGGCTCGTTTAAGAGTGATTTTGGATAGGCCATAATCACTTATGGGAAGAACCACCTCTCATGTGCTTCTCCATAATTTTAAGTGATTCTAAACATAAGCACCTCCCATGTGCTTATCCATAAAAGTATTTTTTGATATATCTAGAATCACTCCCAAACAAACTCTTAAGGAAGTTAATTAGGAGGCTCTTAAGGAAGTTAATTAGGAGGCAATTAGTTAGTGGTGGCTGCTCTGTTGAGAAAGCACTTGCAGAAGCACTAACTAATCATGCATCTTATATAAATATACTAGAAACCAGAAAGTGAAACAATAGCCCTTTAGAAATTAGTATCTTAATGGCAATATATATAATCCTTGATTTACTTAATTAATATAAGCACTGATGATCATAACAGTTGCTATCTAACTTAATTTACAATATCAAGCAAGCAAGTAATAACATCCATGGGTGTTACAATTATTAATTCTTACATGCAGGTCACATCAATTTCTCTTTTTTCTTTCCACTTTTTAAGAAAAATATTCCCACACTTCTATTATAATTTAATTTATATCGAGAACAAAATCATGTTGACCCACTACTGAGCTTTTTGTATTATTTTTTTTATTTATGGTGGAAATATTCAAAACCCATTTCTCACCTTGTCCAATTTTTCCACACTAGGTACTATATGTGGAAATATCCATAAATATACAGAACCCCTCTCTCTTTCTCTCTCTCTCTCATATATATATATAATTCCAAATCATTTTTTTAAAATGGTGCATTACCTCTACAATAGCGAAGAATTACAGTACTATACTACTATGTGATGATATTTCGAGTCAATCACACGTTGTTATATAAATAAATAACGCATAATGATATAATACGTGATTTGTTTGGAATATTGCCAAAGTGGCATAAAGTGAGGTAGAAATTCCTTGAGCCAATGAGAAAGAGTGATCTTCCCTCGGGATTGAATCCCACTTGCACCCAGATTAGGTGTCAAACAGCATCTCTATTTTTATATATCTTTTGTTTTGAATTGAGAGCAGCAATATCCAAAAACACAACCAAAGCTAACTTTGCTCAGCCTCCATGTTCCATGTACACATCCTTTCTGCCTTGAGCACATTTCACGAATCTTTTTTCTTGGAGAATCCAATGCTTTTTTGTACCCATAAACATAATCCGTATATCGATCCCATCCCTATACCGCTTTTACTAACATGCATATATTCGCATATTCAAAGTCCCCTGCTTTATAATTATATAGTAATAATATATTGCTACATGAGAGAGAGAGAGAGAGAGAGAGAGAGAGATTTGTTGTAGAGATTTGATTTGAATCATTAATTAGTGTGAGTTTAAGTATACGATCCAATGCTTAAGACAAATTGTTTCTACTTTTTGCAAATTATTTTTGAAGTGGGCCCACATATTGGACCGCCCACGATTTTTGGGTTAGTGGCAGCATAATTTATTTACTTTTTTTTTTTTTTTTGCCTTTAATGGGAAGTACCAACTCAATCTCAATATAATTAAGAGGGTGAAATTTAACACAAGAGGAAGCTTTAGGGGAAGTATTGTTGTTGCCCTACTCAATCCTGCATGGTGTTCCTGCTTAGCAATGTTTTAAATTTAATGGGTTTTGGTGTATAGTAACAAGAAAGTGACCCATGCACTGTGCAGTCAAACTGACAAAATACTAACTATTTTTCAACATTTTTGAGTTTTGTTTTATTTGTTTTATTTGTTTTCTTGGTAGGTATAGTAACAACACTCATAAATTACTATTGTGGGACCCACATATATATATATAAAAGAGATTTAGGGAAAATTTTGAGTTGCATAACATCTTACATTGAAACCTCTTGTTTTGTTGCTAAGTTGCATATCTTATGGGCCCAATTTTTATGAATTGTTTTACATGTTAACAAACATTTGCATTTCTTTTGTTTGTCTCCTTCCATGGAAAGAGATACTATTCCTTCATGTTAATTACAGTTTGATATATATGCAAAAATATTTCATAAAAAATACAAAAAGAAAAACTTATGCACGGATGTCACACCGCTATTGGCAGGAATGTAAGAGCTCCTACTTACATAATAATGAGGGAAGTATTTGCATTTCATGAATACTTGACCTTCTGATAAGTAGGTCCATTATTTTGAAATTTCGTAACATAATATATCAACGTACATGTTCCATGCAAGCTAATTGGTATATGTATCAAATTAATCTTAATATATATTTATATATAATCTTACCATGAATTACAACTTGGAAAATTAAAACCATGGGGAAAAAAATTTGTCAAAAAGAGCCACATACGTAAGTCATTAATTAAAATGCCGGCATATCAAGTTTGATCATATCACGAGGCCTTCCCTTTGGGAAGAAGATTGATAGACAGTAGTTAAGACAAAAAGAGTAATTAATTATATATTTAAGAAAAAACCAAAAACAAAAAACAAAATTATAAAGGATGTTCATGTTCAATTATATGTTGATCCGTATGTGGCAGCTATAGCTAGCTAAGTAGCCAAAGCTAACCCTGCCAGGGTTTGTGGGTTTGGTCAAGGGAAGAAGATGCAGCAGCTGTTGCTGCACTGGTCACGCAGCTTCCAAGCCCAGCAATGTTGAGAAAGTCACTGTGAGAGAGAGCTCTCAACCCTAGGAAGTCTCTGGTCAAACCTTCGCCATGGCCACCACCTTCATCACTAGCGCTTGACCTGTTGAAATGGGCAGATGATGGATTGTTTGAATTGTTTGTGTCTTTCTTTGAATTGTTCAAAACTGTTGGCATGGACCCAAAAGCATCCAGCTCAAAAGAAGCTCCTTCGAACCCAGTTCCAGAGGACAGAGAATTCATCATGTCATGCAGAAGAGAAGCTTGATGTTGATTTTGATTTTGGTTTTGGTTTTGGTTTTGATGATGATGATGTTGATGAATACCTGAGGATGATGGAGGAGGACCAGTGCCATTACTAGAAGCACTGGCTCCTCCTGCCCCTGTTGTTGCTGCTGCAGCTGTATTATTCCCAAAACTGGACACGTGACCACCAAAATCAGGCACGTGACCCTGGTTGTTCTGGTGGGACCTCATCATGGGTTGTGGTGAGGAACCTGCAGAGGTTGCTGCTGCTGCAGAGGCTGTACTATTCTTGCTGCTCATTGTTGCACCCATCTGAGCTGCCTTCTGAAGCAATGCAGTTGCTGACATATGTGGGGAAGGGGCAGGCTGGAAGGGTGGGAGGGTGGGGCCCAGGCTAGGGTTAGGGTTTGGGTTTGGGTTTGGGGCTGTACTGTTGTGATCATGGAGGGATAAATCTTGGTGGGTTTGTGTGAAATTTTGGTCTAGCCTTGTGGAGAAGATTGAGGAGGATGAGGAAAGGTCAATGGAAGTGTTGTTGGGTGGGCCAGGGCAGGCCAGCCAAGGAGGCAGGTCTGGCCTCAGGCTTGTGAAACTTTGCTGCTCTTTTTTCAATGAAAATCCATGGAGGTCTTGGAATTGGTGGGCTAATTGAACTTGGTTAAGGTTCATGTGATGATGATGAGATGCTGATGAAGATCCAGGCTGTTGTAATTGCTGTTGTTGAGGGGAGATGAGGAGAGGGTTATTATTTCCTGTGGTGATGGCTCTTGCACTCTCCTCTGCTAAAGCATCACAGAAGGCTCTGTGGGTGATGAAACTATCCCTCCTGAAGCAGAAAAAACTTATGTGAAACGGGGATAACATGTGGAATTTTTCCAAAAAAAATCCCCAAAACAGACAAACCACAAGAAAACAAAAGCAACCATGTCATAAAGTGCTGTATTACATGAACACATTTGCAGATATGTATTGACTTCCCTCTCTCTCTTTTGCTCATCTCTTTCTGTTTTAATTTTTTTTAAATATAAAAAAATCAGAGAGCTAAGGACAGACAGTCCAAATTAGGGTGGTGCATTAAAAAGTTCCATCCATAGTAAGTTGTAAGCATGCCCTTCATCCCCACTTTTCCCTAGATAGGTGTCAAAGTAGGAGCACCAAATAAAGAATGTGACTTAAATACAACCCAAGGCAAAAATAAGTAACTTATTTGAACAAATTCTATGATTTGAAATATGGGTTTTCAGAAATTAATTAGCTTTTGCTAAAATTGCCCCCCAATATCCTTAGTTCATAGGTGAGGTGAAGATGTATGTCTTGTTAGTGTTTGAATAAATTACTAAGAGAGTGGTCTTGCAATTTCATGAATGTGAATGCTTGAAAAGATGATGAATTTGAGGTTAATTAGTTACCTCGAGAAAAGAGTTCCACAGTCACATCTGTACTCCCTCGTGCCACAGGTCTTGGAATGAGCTTTCCAATCAGATTGAACCGCGTACCGCTTTGAGCACTTGTCACATTTCCACTTCTTCTCACCATGCTTTCTGCAAAAGTGCTTCTTGATTCCAGTCAGGTCACCAAGAGCTCTTGAAGGATCATGGTGCACACAGCTTGCTTCTGGGCACACATACACCTTCTTCCTCACTTCTTTGCTTGTTCTTTGCTTAAGCTTCCATGGCAGATTGTGCCCTCTTCTGTGAAGCTGAAGATTCTGATCTCTTTGGAACCCCTTGTTGCAGATCTCACAGATGAATCTGTTTGTTGCCATGAGTGTCTTGGGAGACAAGGTTATTACTTCTGCTTCTGGGTCTGATCCAAAATTAACCAAAATTTTAATTTAAGTTTGAACCAAAAAATCCAGAGAGAGAGATCATATTAATTAAGTTTGGTTACCTGGATTGCCTGGGAGGTTTCTCTTCTTTTTCAGAGCTGGTTGAGTTTGAGATGGAGGTGGAGCAAAAAACTGTTGGGAAAAACTGGTGCCAATTTCATTTCTGTTGCCAGAAGAGACACTGGCAGCTTCACCTGATGCTGAAGTTAGATTAGACATATTCTCATCCACCAGTTGTGAGTGTTGCTGTTGCTGTTGCTGTTGCTGTTGGAACATCAAACCCTTCATCATCTTTTTGTTGGATATGAAAATTCTTGAATTGCTATTGAGCTGGCATCATTATGGCCCATGTATATGTGGATCTTGATTTCTCTGAGTGATGAGAAGACTTCAGGATCTGATAATTAAAGACAAAAGAAAAGAAAGAAAAAAGCTGAAGAGAGAGAAGGAAGGAAACCTAATAAGAGGCAAAAATGGATGTCACTCAAGTTTTAGTCTTTCAACCCCATAACACCCACTACGCACACACACACCTTGATTGTTTCTTACTTAAATTTGTTTGGCTCCAACCCAAGAGACAATTTTTTGTTTTTTGAAGGCTCAAAAGAAACAACACAGAGAGAGAGAGAGAGAGAGAGAGAGAGAGAGAGAGAGAGGAGTGCAGCTAAACCAGATCCTCTAGCTAACTCTACTTTTCTCCTTCAATATGGTTCAGTAGCCATATGCTTGACAATACCAAGAAAATCCAAACTATGGCCACACAAATATGAAGAAAAGATAAAAACTGGCTATATAAAACTTAGAGAGAGAGAGAGAGAGAGAGAGAGAGAGATGTGGATGATAAGAGATATACCTCTGTAATCCTCAACCAGTCCAAAATAAAACTCACATAAACCACAAGCGAAGGGAACCCTACGGCTAAACACTGACGTTTGCACTTTCTGTCTTTTCCTCTATTCTCTTCCACAAACCCCAGAAAAATCTCTCTCCCTTCTTTCTCTTTCTCTCTCACTCACTTCTTTATTATTGTATGCACAAGAAAAGCTTTTAACAAAGTTTTATCTTTTCTGAACCTAAGAAACCTTTAAACTAATCACTACTATACTCTCCAACCTTTCCCTTCTATCTCTTATAAAGTAAGCAGGAAAAATAAAAAAAGGAGAGCATAAAAAGCAACCATGTAAAAAGACAGTATCATTTGTACATTTATAAATCTCTCTCTCTCTCCATATATATATATATATGTATATATGAGAGAGAGAGAGAGAGAGAGAGAGAGAGAGAGAGAGAGAGATTGATTTTGAAATGTATGTTTTACATCATGGGCAGTAGACCCTTTCCCAAACTTTCTACAATTACAGTGGCATGATTGATCCATTGATTAATTCTCTAACAGGGCATGGCTTAAAGCTCTTTTCAGCTTTTTAATATTTTCAGTTTTCTATTACATTTTTCTGCTTCTTTACCCTTCACTTATTCTCACTTAAATCACAACTTACAAGGATAAAACAAATAGTTGAAATTTCTGACAATTTTGCATGCTTCGAAGAATTTAAAAAAAAAACAAAACCAAATACAGATTCGATCAGATTATGGATCTACACCAGCTAAAGCTCTATAGACAACTACTCCTTGGCTGCCTCTTTTG